TCTGCAAGTTCCATTCGGAAGACTGCGCACCTGCTGAATTTACAGCTCGACTTATTTGTGTAGTAAGGAAGTGTTGGTCAGTTGGAAAACATGTCTGTCAGCTGTTCAATTATAGAATGAGACTCGCAGAAAATAAAAAAATAATTTTATTTTGCTGTTAAGTATGTTTTTGTTTTTGAAAAGACATTGTGGTGGTTTTTATTTAAAAGAATCAAAGAAATTGTCCAAACGGTAGGCTCTATTAGTCTCTTTTCAAGATTTTTCCTCTCTGGAAATGGTTAAACGGTGATTTCGACCATAGAAAGAATGGGAGACAATTCAATCTTCCTTCAAAATTCAGGCTTAATGCGTCGAACTTTAATCAACCATCACAAAAAAATTTGACATCATTCAATGGAGTTGTCTCCCTTAGACAATAAATGACGTAGGTCGTAGACTTGACTGTCCAATAAGCAATAAAGAGTCCTGTTTCTTTAGTCTCGAATATCAAGCAAAACAAATAGAGTAGAAATAACAAAATGGCGAGTTTTTGTCAGAAGTTTCAACTGTACATCAGTTTAAAGAGGATAAGACTAAATCTAACAACTGATTTAGCAATCAGGGGATTGGATCACATTCTTTTAAGTTTCTCTGAAGTCTGCAAACAGAATTTAATCCTTGTCTTGTCTTTTTTTTAGCCTGAACTATGAATTCAAAATCTTGAGGCGGTGCATGTTGTAGGCCTAGTCAAAAGAGCCAAATTCACCACTCAAGTCAATTTCTTTTGTAAAAGTAAAAACATTGTCAGTCGCTTATAAATGAATATATTTGTTTAAGTTTTGGACAGGATATTCCAGATACATTGCAGTACCAATTGAAACAATTAAAATAATTTTAAGCTTCCATGCAAAAGTAGAAAAAAAATATTTCTGCAGTGTTTGATTTGTTACATTTATTTACATTTATTATGCCTATATGTGAACTATGTTTTGATCTATATTAAGATTTTAATGTTTGAAATTGTAATTTCTTTCAGGGTTTGGGAAGGATGAAGAGACTGTAATCTAAGTTTTTGTGTTTCTGGACAAAGTGATTATTTTGAAGATATCAGTAAAAACAAAGTGTCAACAAATACAACTTTAGTCAGGTAAAAAATTTGATTGTTCTGCATTTTTAAACTTTGTACAGAACCAGTTTCTATAGAAAAATAAGAAAGTTATAGTTGATTTAGAATTTTACGTGTCATTATATTGTATCCTGAAGTTCTGATGAAAGTAGTATAAAAGTAAAATAGCTCTCACCTGCTTCTAGATAAATATATTTGTATAACATTTGGACAGGATATTCCAGATACATTGCAATGCAAATTGAAAGAATGAAATAATTTGTGATTTCTTTCAGGTTTTGGTTTTTATGTTATTTGACCAGATCATTAATTGAGAAGATTTCAGTAAAACACAAAATGTTAAAGTACAGCCAGGTAACAAATTTGTTTATTCTGAATTTGTTCTGTTTTCCAGATTGTTGTAAGAATTACAACCTTGAATCTTTTTACAGATCTAGTTTTTATAGAAAAATAAGAAAGTTATAGTTGATTTAGAATTTTACGAGTCATTTTATTGTATCCTAAAGTTCTGATGAAATTAGTATAAAAGTAAAATTAGCTGTCACTCGCTTATAAATGAATATATTTGTATGATATTTGGACAGGATATTCCAGATACATTGCAATCGAAATTGAAACAATAAAATAATTTGTAATTTCTTTCAGGTCTTGGTTTTACGTTATTTGACCAGATTATTATTTGAGAAGATTTCAGTAAAAATGAGGCTTCGACAAAGTTCAACTTTAATTAGGTAACAAATTTGTTTTTTCTGAATTTGTTCTGTTTTCCAGATTTTTGTAAAAATGACAACCTTGAATCTTTTTACAGATCTAGTTTTTATAGAAAAATAAGACAGTTATAGTTGATTTAGAATTTTACGTGTCATTTTATTGTATCCTAAAGTTCTGATGAAAGTAGTATAAAAGTAAAATAGCTCTCACTCGCTTATAGATAAATATATTTGTATAATATTTGGACAGGATATTCCAGATACATTGCAATCGAAATTGAAACAATAAAATAATTTTAAGGTTGAAAGCAAAAGTAGAAAAAAAATTATTTCTGTAGTGTTTTATTTGGTACGAATATACCTCAAGCTATTTCTATTTATATTTGTTATGCCCATATTTGGACTAAGTTTTGATCTAAATTAAGATTCTAATGTTTGAAATTGTATTTTCTTTCAGTTTTTTGGAAATCTGGAGAGCCAGTAATATCTGTAAAGTTTTTATGTTATTTGACAAAGTCATTATTTAAGAAGATTTCAGTAAAAACAGTTAGAAAGAAGATTTCAACAAAGTACAACTTTAGTCAAGTAATAAATTTGTTTGTTCTGAATTTGTTCTGTTTTCCAGATTTTGTAAGAATGACAACCTT